TCGCTATGTAGTTTAGGCTGGCCTTAAATTCACTTATGTAACCCAGGCTAGCTTAGAACTCATGGAGATCCTCCTGCTTCAGCCTTCCTAGGGTTGGGGCTACAGGTATGCACTGCCACACTTGACACCAATAGAAATTTTACCTACTCTTATGGTTACAAATAATTACTACCAGATATCTGTAACCCTCAGATATACCAGCACTATGGTAGCCCTACAATGTCACCTAAAGTGAGCAGGAAGGATATATTGCAGCCAGAATTATTTAGAAAATTCTCATCAGATTTGCCTTCTTTCATATGTTCTGCCTGAGAAATGTTCAAGAGATTCAAATATATCTCAGAATCAAGTCCATAGGAACAAGATTGCAGTTTCTCTTGACGCCCTCTACTGCTTTCTCCTCCCTCCACTCTTACTTTCTTCATTTGTACCCAATTCGTCTCAGCTCTTCAGACATGTCATGGTCTTTCTTGCTTCTGAGATTTGCCCATTCTTCCCCCGCATGGGCTGATTTTTCCCTCAATTCTTACTTTGCTAATCTCTACTTCATGTCTCAGTGTGAATGTCCTATCTTCACAGAGGCAGACCCAGAATCCAGTAGGTAGCTACATGCTCCTAGGGAATATAGGCTCCTGAGCCTTCCCTATAATCACAGGGTCATATTCATGAGTGACTGAATTCTACACAAGCCTATGATGTGCAGCAAGGAAGATTCCAACTGTCTTGTTTCCTTCTGAGATCACTTTCTTCCTACTGTAAGTTAATGAGGATAGCTCACCGTTCTTTTTCCGCAGCAATGGTTGAATACAGTCATGGTTATGAATCCCTGGTCTATATTCTGGCTTATCTCCTAGTTGTCTGAGATTCAAGCCCCTCCTGACTGTGAACCATATCGTGAATCTGATGTCTAGCAACACTGGAAGGCTGAAAAGGCCCTTAAAGAAGGAAATGGACCCATGATGATCCCATCAGGGAAGTACCTGAGCTGGATAGTCAAAGAGCCATTGTTCCCTTGGTTTTTCCTCATAGGTGGTTACTCCTTCCATCATCTCATGTCTCACGGTGGCTTTCATGTGAGCAAGCACATTATTCAACCATACTTCTACCTGAAAGAAAAATCCTGGATTACACACCATGAACCTAAAAAAATTTGACTAATTCCATGTATTTTTCCTCCTACCTATCTGAGAAAACAAAGACAATGGAAATCAGGCTGGTATACAACCTGAAATGGCTGCCAAAACATAGAGGAAGACATTTTGTTGGTGTCATCTCTGATAGTAACAAGTGGGAATACCATTTGGAGCACACGGGACAGGGCAACAGGTTATGGAGGTAGAGGCTGTCACCCAGGGTTCAGTCTGGTTTGAGGCATATTTTCTCAAGTTAGTTCTCAAGGATGTGTCCATACTGCATGTGGATATGTGAGTCAAGATTGTGTTTCCCAACTAAGTGCTTTCAGGGTCTATGAAAGGAACACATTTTGAATTAAACCCCAGGGCTATGGTCCATCCCATCTGAGAACCTTGGATCATTTTCCAACAAGGGAATGGCTTTCTAAGATGCATGGGGAGAAAGCTGAAGCTTTGTAAGAGATCTTTTTTCTAGGTATTAACCTTCACTAGATTAGAACCCCCAGGGACAACGCTTTGCTAGATCATTTAGGAAAATGAACAAAGCTGGGCTTATACTTAGTAGCACTGAAGGATAGGAAATAGATTTGAGGAGAAAATAGTCCTATGATTTGTGTGCCTTGAACTTGCACATGGGAGATTTGGTGGTACAGAAGTAGTTCCTGGTGACAGTTGTTTCTCCATGAGGTACACTTGCTTCTCAGTGAGGGGGAATCTCAAGAAGTGATTAATTTTCAAGGACGTTTTCTTTAGGGAAGGTTTCAGTATTCTGGATTCCCCTGCAGGGTGCTGCTGGGGTTGCCTTGTTAATGTATCTGGGGGCAGGTTATTCTTTTTAAATCCCTTTTCTGGTTGATTCAGGGAATTATTTATGTGCATTTTGTTCCTCATAGCACAGGTCTTTCGTTAAAGAAAAAAATATATCCCCTTCCCAGAGAGAACAGAGGATACTGGAGTCTGCTGTAATGTCAGTTCCATTCAAGGGAAGCTGGCATTCCTTCAGGACAGACAGCAGCTTTGGTCTCATGAAGTTGATGATGGATATATTTGAATGCAGATGAGGGAGGGAAGGG